CAGCGCGCCGCGAGACTACGGAAGACGTTGGGTCCACTTGAATTAAATAGATGATATCGGAGGCGGACAGTCGCCGATGAATTTCACCTTGTTCAGGTTCACGCGGATACCTCGGGTGTCGGTATAGTAACAGAAGAGGTTGACCTAGATCCCTGATAGCAGGTCAGCGCGAATCGAGCTCCAATTTTCGCGGCCAATTCGAGTCCGCGATCCAATTGGTTGTTAGGTCTGTTGTGCTGGCGTTACTAAGGGCGCAAATGACTGCATGCACTTGCGTAGGCTAATCGATCGGACATGGCGCTCGAATGCGCGCACGCGTAGCCCCCGGCGCCACTTGTTGATCCGCCACCCTGCGGTGCGCACGCGGTACCTTTCTGAAGTCATTGTTGTTTTTATGACGCACACTGTCATGTCTATTTTTGACTGTGTATGCGGTCGTACCTGCAGACGCCGCATACACTGAGAAACCTATGAAATCTTAAGAAGAATCAACGAAAGTGTGAGGCAAATGTCGCCGTCGGACACCTCGCCGCCGCTGCCGCCGTCGTTGTCGGACAGCTGGATTCCTGATACGGATTCTTCGTCTTCTTACGATGACGAGAGTTCTACGTTCGAGTCCCACAATGCTCCAACACACGAAGACAGTTTGTCAACGTAGCAGGCGCCAGAAGGCGAGCCGAGCTTACGTGAATCGTTGCACGAGCTGGCGGTACGAACGGCCATTCTCGCCGGACCATCCGTCGGACGCACGAACTCCGTTGGGTGAGACAAGCTGTTCTGCACCGATAACGGCCATGGACAGCGGTGAGTATGTCTATTTAGGTCTAGTAAGATAGCTGAATTATCAGTTACGTGGCCCCTGTCTGTGACGGCTGAGATAGTTGTACGTCTAGCAATTGATGGGCTCTGAATTCCTAGGAAGACTTAGCGTGAGTTCTGGCTTATTTTAGGCAGAACCCTGAAGCCCATTTTAAGTGCAGTGTTTGCTGTAGGAATATATTGCAGGCGTTCTGCAAACCACTGGTCGATTAGTTGCTGACAATGTGTGTGGGTGTGTGGATTCGGGTCTACCTTCTCAGGGCGCTATTTTCGACCTCGGCACCGCTTTGTGGAGTCACTGGTTCCTCTGCCCGTAAGATAGTGCTGGCCGGGGTAGGAGGAGGAGGAGGGGGCGGGGGGGGGGGACATACGCCTCGGTCTGTGGCGTAGTGCTCTGTGCAGGCAGTAGGTGTTCAGTCCTCGGGATGTCAGGATCCCCATAAATGGTTGCTGGCAGTTCGACCTTTCCGAATTATCCACTTACTGTGTCCGTTCGGCTGCAAACTTGCTCCAGATGTCGACGCACAATTCTCACATCTTCTAACTCTAATTCTACTATTTGCCTCTCCCTTATTCGAACCACCGCTGGACACCAGTTCGTTTCGTGTTCCAGTCGCGTGTAGACACTTTCGTTGCGCGCGACCACTCGTAAGCGGGTGTTCGCATCATATCGTGCTTTCATTTTCGTCTGTTTTTCAATGTCTCTATCATGCGTGGAAGGGTTAAGCAGGTGGAGCTGTGTGCGAAACTGCCGCTTGAACATCAATTCTGCAGGCGAAGCACCGGTTGAGTCATTTAGTGTTATGCGATAGCTGAACAGAAAGCGTGACAACTTGGTGGCCAAGTCCGCTTCCGTCTTTTGGGCTAGTCCGTGCTTTATTGTCTGGACTGCACGCTCTGCGAGGCCATTAGAAGCAGTGTAGCAGTTAAGTGCCTACTTCCACTTTTCTGCATGAATTCGTTAAATTCTGGTGACAACCCGGGCAGCATACACTGCATTTACGACAGTGTACCCGAACGTGCTGGAACTGATTTGGTTTCTTTATCTACCGTAGATGACTGTCATCGCATGACCGTTTCTCCTCTAATAGCTTACAGCGTAGGAATGATCAGTGCTTTTTCCAATGGATTCTGTAAATGTAGTTTATTTAGAAGTTGTGAAGAGATTGTCAGCTTCAGCAGTTGCTATGGTTACTGATAGGTTGCGTTCCCTCAGGTACCTACATGCCACGACACTTTTCGTAGCCTGCTATGTCATTTAGTGATAAAAACATGCGGCATGGAACGGAATTGCATCAGTTCTTGCTGTACACTGGAGCTTAATAGTCCACTTTCTTGAAAGTATTGAAAACATCTACTGCTGTTTACTGCAGTGTGGTGTCTAATTCGCCAGCGTTCGTGCAGGCAAGAGGTACCCTACTGTAGGTGGTTGTTGAGAATGTATGTGGATAGATACTTATCTTGGCAACGGTATAGAGAAGGACCCCAATTAACTATCAGTAGACTGTGGATCGTGTCATATGGCGTTTTATCCTGGCATACATTTGTAGGCTATTGTAGAAATTACGCTGCCAACAACGATTACTTCCCAACGACCTCACACACCTTAACTCAATATCCGTTATTTTTTGAAATTTACTTTTGTCTTATTGTTTAATTACTCTCATTCTCGTTGTAGTACAATGGCGTAGAATAAGAATTCCGGCATAAATTTAAGCAATTTTTGTGTTTCCTTTCATTTTGTCAGCTTACCGTCTATTGTGCTGTCTCACCCATGAAATTCCCTTTACCATAAATCACGTATGGCGCGGTCCACAGTCTACTGACAGTTAAGTGGGGTCCTTCTCTATACCGTTACCAAGGTAGAAATGATGTACAATGTTCACGGTGTTAACTTGTTTAATTTCCGAGGAAATTAATGCGCGAGCTTGCAGTAAATCCCTCGGAACAGACCTTTTCAGGCACGGTCCGAAATTTGGTACGAATATTTGAGCTGAAATTCATAACCTACTGCGGAATGACCGCGTAATATTCACAAACCCCCAGTAGGTAGTCAGCAGTATACAATTGTGTAATTATTTACCGCATTGATAACACATGTAGTAACTACAAACCCAGACACGCATGTTTCGCCGATTTTGTGCTGCCGCTCGACGCAGCTGCGAGGGGTTCAACTCGCCAGTGTTGGCGGTTTGTGAATTTTACGCGTGTATGTCGCAGTAGCTGATGGATTTTAGCTCAAATATTCATATCATTTTTCGGATCGTGACCAAAAAAGGCCTGTTCAGATGGATTTGCTCCAAGTTCGCGCATCGATTTCCTCTGAAATTAAACAAAGGCGCAACGGTATAGAGAAGGACCCCAATTAATTGCCAATAGACTGTGGATCGTGTCACACGTGAGTGGCGATATGGGGAGTTTTGCGGGTGGGGCAGCGCCCTAGACAGTAAGCTGACGAAATGCAGGAAAACACAGCAATTGTTTGGATTTCTCCCAAAAGACTCATCGTACCTTTCGTACGAAAACGAAAATGAGCGCGGTAACTAAAAATAAACAAAAAGTCATAGGAAGTGATTGCTATTGACAGTGTAATGTCTTCAAAGGACTGCGAATGGATGGCAAAATAAAAGCCCCTAGGACGTGATCCACAGTCTGCCGTCAGTTAAGTGGGGTCCTACTCCGCACCATCCTACCGTCCTCCACACCTTCTCCATACGGTGAAGCTGGAGCTCATATACCAGAAAACACACGGGAGAGGGCTGGGAGAGACCCACTGATGAGCTGGACCCTTCGCAGATGCGTCAGGCAGCTGCAAAAGATCGGCGAGACCTGAATGTCGGGGGTTTTAGCTTGTACCTGTGTTTCCAGTACGGCAAATAATTACACAATCGTTCACGGCATTGTTCACTGACCGAACGATGTTTCATGGCATGCTCCGCCAGGAAGTTTTTCCTCCTTCCCCTTCGAAAGTTGCTGATAGAAGCGAACAGGCGGGCTCCATGAAGCAGCTCAGAAGACGAAGATGGCGTCATTGGAACAAGAAATTTATTGTCCTGGCGTTTCGGATTCTCACTCGGACCCATCATCAGAGACAGTGGATCATTCGATCCAGTCTCTCAACGTCAAGGTTTTCAAGGATAGGTTGGAAACTGAGACCCACAGTTGCCCATTGCCGCCGAGGGTGCTGAAGTACGTACGTTTCCCCATGCCGGACGACTTTGACCTTGAGTCTCTGCAGACGGACGACAGGAGCTAGTTCGAATCCGGTGCGTTCCATGGTGATTTTATCGGCTAACGGCTGAATGCGTCTGACGGTGACCTTTCCTCACACTTTCGGCAACAACTTATCACCGCACTGACACTCCTACCGCGCAGCCGACACTTTTTACAAATCCTACAACCCAACAGTTCCTCACTTAATGATTTGCGACTAATAAAGAGAGAAGGTGAAATTTGGTACAGTCTTCACCATGACCACCTCCCCCCCCCCTTTTTTTCCTGTCGGGTTTTAGACCCGAATGTCATACAATCGTACGCCCACCGACAGTGAACCACCACATTGGTTGATAAAACCGGAGTCAGAGGATGCTCTGCTGCCGTCCCCGTCTTCGGTAAGGTTTACAACTGCATGACACGATTACCTTTCAGGCTTCGGATAACGACGGAGACTTCAGTGCAACACTGCCGAGAGGCCTGTCTCCTCCCTATACCAGTAAGCCTTCAACTTGCCTATATGTGTGTCCACACTAGATGACGTCCTTGGGACGGGCACTCCCCCACGTAAGCGACGTCGTCATGTGGGGTCAGGGCGCCACTGTAGCCACCTAAAACTTAAAAGGCAGCTACGCTGGATGCTGCGCACGCTGCGGGAGTTGGTGGCGCATTGTACGGAACAGAAAATTACGATAGAGGCTTTGCGACAGGATATTCAACGCCTCACTGCAGCCTCCGCAGCCGCCCTGGCGACAGACGAAGGCCCCGTTTTGAGCCAGATAACGACGTTGGAGGCCTTTGATCGACTGTCCGCGGCGCTTTCAGACCGGCCGTACAGACAGCGCTTGGTAGATTATATATTTATATCTTAAACATCAGGCGCAGATGTCTTACTTGGCCTCAATTGGCGGGGACGACACACCTAACTTCGCAGCCCGCATCTTCTCCGCCCTGTTCGGTGATGAGGTCACGTTGTTTCTCACCTTCTACGGGAAGAAACCAGGATTCCGGGCCTTATATGGGTCTCCAATCTATGATGTTATTCTGGGTAAGACTTCTGTCTTGTGTGCTTCGACCAATTACATTCCAGACGTTTTCAATAGATGGAATGTCGACAAGAAGTCCGACTGGTGGAAGTTAGAGGAGGCATTCAAAAATGCCTTCAAGAAGGCACATGACCGCCAACAAAGGAGATCGCATAAGGCCCCCAGCAGTCAACCTACAAACGGTAATTCTTAATAAAAGCATTAACTTGTGTACTGTACTAGATAATGTGTGTATAGAATAGGAAATACTACATTTACTCACCCCATTACAGAACTTTTCTTTTAGGCCTTCTACGGGCAGATGGAAAATCTGGCACATGCCACTGTAATTAGGACATGAACACGACGTTCTTACTGTCTGCTATTTTAAAAAAGAATAAACTACGTTTACAGTGCATTTTGTTACCGTTAACCCATTACTACCGATAGAAATGGTCCTCCCCGGGGGCGGGGCTTGGAACAGGTACATGAGGGGTGGGGGGATAACAAAAACTCGATTCGGGCTCGAGAATTTGCGGCTTCGAGCTTGATCCGAGCTGAATCGAAGTTAAATGACGATGTCCGGGGCGGACAGTCGCTGATGATTTATACGTGGTTCAGATTCTCTTGGCTCTCTCGGGTGTCGATGTGACACCCAAGGAGGTTTACCTAGACAAAGCAGCAGTACACTAAGTTAACGGTAAGACAGAGCTCATGAAAGTGCTTAAGGGTGAAGTAGAGGGCTATTCGAGCAACGGGACAGTCTGTTTATTCTTCTGACCTTTCGAACTCATTCAGGAGTCCATCGTCAGAGATAGGAGCAACGACAAAACAAGCGACGATTATGGGACTTGCTAGCCACTTATCGACTGACGGCGCAAGACTGGAGGTGACCGCGCAGGACTCTGTGCGCCATCGCCAGATCGATAAATCGATTGACTGACTTCTCATCCGAGCCCCAGGCTTCAATCAATTCTCAGCCTACTTTTGTTTCCGTCATGGGCGATTATCTTGGTGACTGCGAAGTTAAGCTCATGACTCAATTCGTAGGTGTGGGAAGCCACTTGTGAAAATTCGTCGCCTCGTCGCACAGCCAGCTTGCGTTCGTCTATGCGCGATCCGGGCATGCATCCAATCTGGCATGTGTAGTTACAAGGGCAGTTTTGGTACGGGATGCAATGCACTACCCGCTGATTGTTCCCCGGAATCTAACCGGTCCTGAGTTTTCGTGACCTTTCTGCGCATGGTGGCTTTGGAGGGGGGTGTGCAATTCCAACACCTAACTCCGCAGCAATACGTTCGGCTGTTTTCGAAATGCCCTTAATGGATGACAGAGAATGCCATGCCCTTTGTGGTGCTGCCGTTTTAGCGCTCTGTGGGCTCGACCAGCCTTGCTTTTCACCTTTACATATACCTAAAACCCCAACTTTGGCCTACATTCGTGTTAAAAGGGTTCTGGTAGGAAGGCTGGCTGCTGGGCTTTATCATGACCAGTGACGCAAATGAAATCAGGGTCATGCATTATAACGCTGGGTGTGCTGGTGCTGTACCCTGGCTCCCACTGGTATTCCTGTTAAGTCGACATACTCTAAATGCGTTTTGTCGGTTCATTTAGTGCACCTGACGTCATCACCAAGATTACCCGTGATTCAGTAGCATACCCATAACATTTTCCACGTAATATGCAGTTTTGGGAGTGAGGAATAAGACTTAAAAACGGGAACTGTGACGCTATTAACAGAATACTAACCACTGCAAACACCCTAGTTCTCATCAGTGCGGCTGTTCCAGATCAAAATTCGGAGGGAAAAAGCCATGAAAATGACCCACATTTTGGGAGGATGGAGGAACAGTCCGCTGAGAGCGAAGAAGGAGATCCGATCGTTGGAACAAGGGCCTTATTAGCCTGACGTTTTGGACTGTTACTTGAATACATCATCAGAAGACATGAGACTATTCCGGACACGCATGACCGAGCACGCAGCGGCAGTGAGAACGAACGACGCCAGCTCCCGAGTCGCGGCTCACTCGACGGAACACAACAACATATTCAAGTTTGACAGCAGAAATTCTTGCTAGAGGTCACTACCGCGTGAGTCGCGAACTGCTCGGGTCATGATTTTCCGGTCCTCAATCAATCAGCAAGCGCAACGACCTCCTCCACATATTTGGCGCCGAGATCTCGTCTAGGTAAAGTGGTTAGCCGCGAGAAGAGCGGGCGGATAACCACTATCTCTAGTGTCAACGTCGGCGTCCCAAGAGTCCACAGGGATGGCGGAATCCGGCAGTCAGCAACTCAAATGCGTGCGATGGGCGTGGGAGCCGATAATCTAGAACGGAACACACGCGCATAGTAACGGCATGGCAACTGCATCCTTCAACACCCGGCCAAGTGATCCGTGATGCACTCGGGAGCTGACAACTGTGATAGGCATTTGGTGGGCTAGCAACTACATCCTATAAAAACTACAACACCTGGGCAATCCAGTACTCTTTTCTGACTCCGTCTGTTAGGCTTGGGGTATCACTGCCCGCATGTCCCGTCAGCGAGGATTTCAGCCTTCCTTCAATCTCACAACAGATCTGCCATACATCAGGTTGCTTTCTTCCGCTTCAGCTTCGGCTGCTTTCCCCACTAACGATTTCAGCATCCCCCTTCGGCTCACTTCACTTTCCATGCCCACAATGCACTTATTCTTGAGATCAGGACAGCATAATAGACTAAATTTAAACTTGTCAGCGGCGCTTTATTCAAAGTCCGTTATTTTTTGAAGATTGCTCTTGGTCTATTTTCAGATTATCGCGATCAGCTTCTTTGCCAATTGACACCCTTAAAACCACCTCTTCCACCACTTAACGTATGACACGCTCCACAGGCTAGCTCAATTTAGTTGTGGGACCTACACCTTATCGTTGCCGAAAACGAAATACACAAACTGAGACTTGAACTATGCTCGTAATAGCTGCTTATTTCCTTACGTAAACCTTTTGACTCTTACGTAATACGCCACTTCATTTCTCTTCACAGTGGATGGGACCATTTGTGCTAAAAATATTGAATGGTACCTTCAAAATGAAGCGCATTCTTTTCTCTCTCTCTCTCTCTCTCTCTAACAGTGAAGCCCACCTCACCGACAAACCACGGCTGAGGGACTGACATTTTGGTATTTTGGCCACCGTTCTCCTTTCTTCCCGAATGCTTATAGGGCGACTGTGTGGAGTCACTCGCCTAGAATCCTCCCGCCGGTGTAAGGTTGCATTATATACATATATATATATCTTCTCCTCACTCTCTCTAAGCTTACGGTTCTCGGGACCGTCTACCATGTTCTCTAATCCTGACCTTTATAGTTGTATGTATCAGTGGTATCTTTTGAATCACGCCAGTCACGTGTCAGATGCGTCGGATCAACATGGAGGTCATATCTGATCCTGGTAGGCGTTACCGGAATGCACATCATGACATATGTCAACATTTTGGGGGGTGCGGTGGCAGACCCACTTACCGGCTGAGGTTGAACACATTGGGATCCCTGCGGCCCTCCCTATTGTTGTTGGTTAAAATCCTGGTCATTTGTTGTGTGGACCAGGGGCTGTGGTGTGTAGAGCCAAGGTGTGGGCTTGATCGTGCCATCCACCTGCGCCCTCTCCCGCCTCCGGTCTCCTTGACTGTATCTTGACACCAGGTCCAGGTGGGGTGTGAGAGAAGAGGGTGCAGTAGATGCTGTGCAAGCCTACCATCACTATAGACTAATTCACGAGCAAGTCACCGTCACTGCTCCACCTTGCTGTTGAGCATCGTCGGTGGACATCGACGGTCGAACTATCGAATCACGTTAATTTAACACAAAATCCATACTTTGTTAACTGTGGCTTCATAATCCGGCTTTTGAAGTGTGCGATTAAATGGACGCATTGTTTTCTTGCCTTCTAACAACGTTAACATGAATCATGCGGTCTAATTCAGAATTCGCTTTCTACTTAGTCTTGACTACGAATTTAGGCAGTACTAGTGCCGCAGCATGAGTTATTGCAAATGACGTTTTAATTTTCTAGGTTTTGATTTTTCGACTTTCTTGGAATTTCTACAGCCATGCCCAGACACTCGACTGGTGCATCACAGTGTTAAGAGGAGAGAGAGGTCGACGCTGGGAGCGGGGGGGGGAGTGGAGGGGGGCTCTGTACCCGCACCAAATCAGCGCACTGCCCACTAGAATACGTCTGACGCGTCTGGACCTATCACGAAGCGTCTTTAGTCATGTGTAGAGGGATAGACAACTGACGGAGTAACTGGGTCCTCGTGAACGATACTACTAAGATACAAGGGGTGGTTGGCCCGAGGAATGAGATTCCCATTCAAATGAGATCCAAGCCGCATTTGCCTTGTTTTGGTGGAAGCATGATCCATCGTGCAGGGACCAGGTAGCGTCTTGCACACGTAGACTGACTGTCTAGCCTTGGCAGCCTTCGGCCGTCCTGGCCTAGTCCTGACACCGGACCCCGGTGAGTTAGGGGGGGGGGG